GCTGGAGGTTTTCCCGGGGCTTGGAGCCGGGTCGTGCGTGCGGTAAGGGTCTCAGCTGTGAGGGGGCTCTGCAGGGCCAAATTTCGCCCCGGTGTCACCAGCCTCGGGCGAGGGCCCGAGCAGGGGCCAGGCTGGGGCTGTGCGAGGGCAGCCGCAGGCACAGAAGTGGGAAGCGAGACTTTTCCCACCCTGGACGTTTGCAAGGTTTCTGGATCAGCCGTGGTACAGTGCCTGGGCTTTGCCAGTCTGGAGTCCAGTCTGGAGTTATTTTCCCTCTGAAATGTGATGGTACTTACTTTTCACTCGCGCTCATCCCGAGTGCACATCGGTTACAGCAGGGGTGTGGGATTACGGAGACGACAGGGAGATTTATTTAGCATCGTCTGTGTCTCTGAGGTGATTCCTCATGTCTTGCCAAACAAATTATCAATGAAATAATTGGGGATATCCCCAGGGTGAGGTTTTGTCCTCATTTTTAGGGGCAGGAATCAGCAAGGATCCACTGTCAAGGCAAGGACTTCAAAATGAGCATAGGGGAATGAGTGAGAGGGTCCTCTGCCAGGCTGTGGGGGAAGGCCTGGCTCCCAGGGGAGCCGTGGCGAGGAGGAGAAAGTGGCCCAGTTCTACCAAACTGGACCCAGCAGCCTTGTAGGTATTTATACCCGCTCTTTCCGTGGTATTTCTACCCTTTGCAGTCCTCACAATTTGTCCTCCCTCCCTCCCTCTGCGATGAGGGACACAGCCCTCGCTTTACAGGTGCAGCACTAGCGCTCAGCCTAACGTCTCTTCCCAGCTGGCTGGACGCACGCCAGCCTACAGCCAAAAAGTCACCAGTCCCCGCTGTACAGGCCGGCTAATTAGGGTGTATTTAGCAGGCTCAGCACCCTGCTGACATAGCCACATAGGTTTGGGAAGGGGAGTACGACTCTCGGACGGCATAGACCCGTCCTAGGTGATGTAAAGCTGCACAGAAAGACTCGGCAGAGCAGAACTCTGACCCCAGGTCTCCAGAGGAAACAGGGTCAGTTCTCTCACCGCTAAATAATCTCTCCAGAATAAGAGAAGCGAAAAAAACATGCACCATGTGGTCTGACAGAAGGTCGCATCTTTAGAATTAGCATTGTTTTATATATTGATCTTTTGTTCAGGAAAATCAGTAGGGGCAGAACTGACAAGATGCTTGCTTGTCATATAGTCACAGCATATTGTGTCTTTTCAGTAAATCAAATGTTTTTTAACATTCAAGTATAACAGGAGAGAGCTAATAAAGGTGCGTAGTGTTAGCGTTAAAAGGGAGCTGCAATCCAACAAAAATTTCTATGCTTTTCAAAAAGAAGCTGAACCTTGTGCTTGTAAAGTTCTAGTTTAGACACTTCTCTTACCATGACTTCTGGCACCTGATGATGCCCCGTTGTTATCGAGATGGTGCTCTTTGTCTCAAGCTCAGTGGTGGTTGCCTCGAAAGGCATGATGTGTTTGTGGTGCCTCTCTTTTGTACCCTGCGTGGACAGTGGCTGCTCTAGATCCAGGCAGGAAGATGGAGTCTCAGTGAAGTCTCTCTGTCTCTCTGTCCCCTGCACCAGAGCTGGAATTTGCCAGTCTCTGGTGGCCCAGTTCAGGGAGCTAAACCCTCAGGAAACTATTTCTGTTTTCTCTATTGCCCATTTCTGGCTGGTTTGACTCCCTGCCCTGCCTCGCTGCTGGGTTGTGTGAGCACCAATGCTAGTGCAAGCAAAGGGAGGACATTTTCATGGGTGTAGCGTGGGAGGACAGGACTTTGGCAGCCTGCTGAGGTGGTCCTGTACTTCATACATCCCCAAACTACAGAACTGATCACAAGAAGTCGTTCTTTTGAAGGCAAATGATCATATATACCTTCTATTGCAAGCAGCCAGTAAGTTATGTTTTGTATAAACAGAAATCCCAAATACTTCCAGTGGGAGTTTGTATCAACTTAGACGAGCATGGTCAGAAATTTTAAAGTCGTTTTTGTTCCTGTTGGATGTTGAGGTCTCACCATTGAGTGTTTCTAAAGTCTGTTCGTGTGTTGAATGACACTGAGGGGGTTTATTGGCGTAATTCATTCTGAAATACTGTTTGGAACGTAGAGTTCAAAAATTTAAAATAGAAATGTGAAGAAAGGTGACCAACGGTTCTTGTGCTACAGCTTGTTTGTCAGCCTGTTCGCCACTCATGAATTCAGCACTGGCTGAAATGACATTTCACCCTTTTGCAAGTATTTAACAGGACGAAGTATTTGGGGAAAGTGTAAAGTGCCTCAAGTGTATGTACTGAAGAAATGTGTTACGAATAATACGAAAACAATGCTCCAAAAGAATAGAAACTACTGAACGGAGAGGCGTCCTAAAGCTGCCAATGCTATGGTTAAATTCTGTCATGC